TACTTTTGATAATATAGATAATCATCGACGCTCTAGAAATCAATATACAGGATCATTCACTTGTCTACTTTGATTTTGACCTGAGGAAAAAAATTAATTTTATTGTTGCATTTATTATTTATCCTTTCTATCATGAAAGTAAGATGTTCCTAGATTTCCAACACACTGACGATTCTAAACCTTTTTCTCTCCAAATCCCTTTTTATTGTCCTCGATGATTTTGAAAGAATAATATATATTGATAGAAAGCTATTTTTCATAATTGTCCAGCTGTTGAATACCGTTGCCTGTGTCGCTATTAGTAATTTGCTTGTATTTTTTTATGAAAGTAACACTTCAAGTTGTCGTTTTGCTACTGCAAGTTACCTTAATACGCAACAATAATGGAAGTTCGTTTTTGTTATTGAATAATCAGTATAAAAAAGGATGAGAGAAACCTGTTTTCGATGGGCTTGCTTTGTAGTGTAGGTTTACCAGAGCTGGGGTACAGTATTGACGCGTGCAGACCACAAAACATAAGCCTTATTCAAGCGAATTTATTCACCGATCCAACTGAACGTGACTTCAATCCTTGGATTGAGTTCGGTTGCCGAACTTAATCAAACGCAATCTAATTCGATTAGTTCGCTGAGTTCGATGAGTTCGATTCGATTCGATTAGTTCGATTAAGTTCGATTGGTTCGGAAATCGAACTCAATTGCCGAAACTCAATCGAACTCAATCGAACTCAATCCATGGATTGAGTTCGATTGAGTTCGATTTTCCAACGTTCGATTCAATATGCCGGACCTCAGTATGCCTTCCTCGGTCATCTTCGAGTAATCTTGAGAGTTACACTATCAACACATACCCATATCGTCTAATACGTGGCCAACGAGTCAAAATTTCAATACGACAGGATTTGAGTCAGAATAAGCTCTGTGGTCTCCAAGATTTGCGGCCAGCGGCCTCAGTCAACATCTTGTAGTCTACTATCTTTGGGCCACTGTATGGAGTCTGTAATCTGTAGTCTGCAGTCTGTAGTCTGCAGTCTGCAGTCTGCGAATGTCAGACACCGCTCTTCGACGTATGTCAAAGAGTCATTTGAAGAGTCATCAGGATCACTGGACTCTGAGCTTGGGTCTGAGTTTACTCTGGACTGTTATAGTGAAGCTCAATTTAATCATACTATTTGTATTTACCATACTTTAATATGAGATCTTTTGAATTCCAGAGGCTTTGTTGGAGAAACTGAAAGTATTGTTTAGGAATTCCTGACTGATTGAGCTTTTTTTTTGAAACTCAATTTAATCATACTGTGTTTTATTTACCATGCTCTAAATTTGTATTGCTATCAAACTTTCAACAGATGGGTTTTTCATTCTGCTAAATTATGATGCCATGTGTGCTACCGTTGTCTTTCTTTTTCATTGAATAGCATTAAAGTGCTACTTTTGCAACTTTTAATTAAAGTTTCCTGTTTTATTAAATCCTAGCGCAAATAAAGTAGCACTGTCTTAAAATATATATAACAGAGGAATTCCTTTCCTACTTCATGACAGTTAGGAAAACAACAGCTCATAGATCAGAACACCTTAGAGTTGACAAATTTGTCAGTTCTATTCCAATGAACTCTAATAACTCTTCCACTACTTTTCCATTTTGCAAAAAGGAATGAAAAAGTAATGCCCCCTCCCTGTATGTATTAGATTTTACATCCGAACCCCTCTCTCTTGTTGTCATTTTCTCCTATCCTTCCCCCTCTAATNCCCCCACTCCAGGTAATTATTGCACAGTCCCTTACTGCACAGCTGTGGTGTGAATCAGTTTAGGTTTCTTTTTGGCATCTTAGGTTAAGAAAAGTTGATTTGAATGTACCTTGACGAAAACGCGTGCAACCAAGGGTATAGCTTGCTGTTTTCTAATGCAGGACTTTGGGCGCGATTTTTTATCGACGGACGTGAGATCACGTGAGACTGCAAGCTCCTGCGTGACACACGATCGTGTTGTTGTGTGACAAGCAGGAACCTGCAAGCAGTCGCAATTGTCCAGTGGTAGCACTTCCTCTTATTCTTATTCCTGTTTCGCTTTAGGCGTGCGAAGAGCTCGAAACACTGCCGTATGCAATAAAACTGCAAAGACCAAGAAAAACAACGATGGCTGTTGTTGAAGAGACCTGGAAGACGAAACGATCAACTATTGTAGAGAGGACCACGTTTATTTTCAACAACGAGTTATTGAGTGAT